GACTTACTTATAAACACACGCAGAGCATTCTAGCATGCTCTGGAAAAAATTGTACTGGATATTCAAGAAATTCCGAGAACTTTCTTTCCAATCAGATATGTCTTTCAAGATGCTCATCCTTTTGGAGGTATAATCGAAATGGATGAAGTGCAGAGCATCAGACATGCAGTAAAAAAAAGGGAACCATCTCCCACATATGTCCCATTGTAGCACATCTTACCACCGAGTTCGCTTCATCCGCCACAGCCATTCCGCTGGTATTGACTATGAGTTATGTGAAGGTGAAACATCTACTTCCCTTCACTCTCATTGAGGAATACGACCCGCGAATGAAAAGCCAAGCGTAAAACTGGAACATCAGGGTCTCAATCCGTTCTTCCAATAGAAACATGGTAGAAGTTCTTGATGGAAACACTCATTCCCATTCATGAATGTGTCTGTCAAAGTACTTTTGCCAATGAGGAGAGGCGTATATGAGCAACATGTGTTCTAGGGACAGGGAAGGGTACCACATCATTATTTTCATTCAGACTGGCTTCAGAGGTTCTGAAATAGTTACCTGATGTAACCGAAATATTTCCTTTTCTCTGATATCATCGAAATCTTCAGCATAGCTTGATATCACAGTATTCCCATACGGGATCAGTTCCAGCTCCATTAAAGCACCAAAGCCCTCCAGAGTCTCCATCAGGATTCCGACAAAAGTTATGAGAAGGATGCAAGTCGTCCAGGAATGATCCAGCATTCCAATAGTAACCGTGACTTGAGATGGGATTGGGCGATTCGCGCATCCACAGTTGGCACGGGTGACCTGCTTTGGTGACGTTCTTCGTTCCCATATAGGTCTTTCCTTGTCGGTTATTTTTGCACTCCAACGGACCTGGTTAAAAATAAGCAATGACGGAATGTCATGCATGTGAAATGTAGGAAAAATTATAGAAGGCACGAAGGAAGGGAAAATGATACTGGGAAATCCGAAGACATTCAAGAAAACAAAGAAAGATGACCTACTCATGCAATATCCCAAAACAAGAATATCGCATCGTTCTCCAGTCCGAGGGCAATAAGGAACGTCGCAATATTCAGCTGTGACGTTGTAGTCATTATGCTCAACATTACAATATGGACCATGAGCAGAGTCAGTAGGGTTGCGACAGAAGTTGTTACTCCCATCAACTTCATCTGAAAATGCTGATAGTGAGCATCATTTGGAAATCGTGCCAGCCGATGTTGGCACTGCAATCCCGGCATGGTCGTATTTCGCCTTCCAACATATTCACCGCCGCTTCGCGTGAGCTTGCATTCAGGCGGCTCTAAAAGAGAATGACATTGCACTCCAGTAGGGAAGCAGCAAATTTCACCACGATTGAATTGATGGGCACACCGAGGTTATGACAGTAGGGAATGTCGCAGTACTCCCACTCGATGTCTGGGTCAGAGACAAAGCACCATGGCTTCTCCCTGTACATAGCAGGGTTCCGGCAGTAATTCTTGTGGATTCCTAGGTTCAAGTTGATGAAGTGATCTGAATAAACCATTTCCTGGTTGAAGAAATCCCATGGCATGCCATACGGCTTAGATTCCCAATCGAGACATGACTTTCCAGTCCCAGTCACATCCTTTGTCCCCACATATTCCTTTCCTTTCTTCGTCAGTCTGCATTCGGGATACACGTTCCCCTCGGATCCAACATGAACTTCTTGGATCTCGCAGAAGGAAATGTCACAATATTCAAAGTGAATCACTATTTTCAATGAAACACCAGGGAGAGGCTTTTCCGTCAGGGTTGCGACAGAAGTTGTGCGGCTCCTCGGTTTGTTTGTAATCCGGAAATGCAGGTAAGAAGAACGTCCCAATTCCAGGAATTGTGTTTCTCCAACCTGTTCCCCAAGGTTTGCATGCGTATCCTGAATGACTCACGTTTTTCCTTCCAATGTATTCACTACCTTGTTGAGTTATCTTGCACTCTGGAGGCTCTGTTTAGGTAACATTAGATTATGTTATTGGGAACTTCTTATTTCTCCAGAGAAAGCGACCATCATCCGCAAGTTGTGAGAAACTGGAGACTGTTTTCAAATGCATGTAACGCGCATGGTAACCGCTAAAAGTCACTTGAAATCTGTTATGCCTGATTTCGAAAAGAAAAGATCACATTTTGAAGCGTACGAATCGTAAAGGAATCCACGAAGGGTTCCATGCTATTTTTACATTTAGAAAATCTCATTGGATTTTTAAGGATTTCTTTATACGTGCTCACTGATCCTTAAACAGCTGTACGTTTTTTGTTATTACAATGAGCAAGTGATGGAGGCATATAGAAGAATAGGGTGGTGCAATTGAATAATTACCCGTATCTGTGCACATGGGGATATTACAATATTCCCATTGGATATCTTTATCCATGACGAAACACCATGGCCTCTCCCTTCCGGATGGGTTGCGACAGTAGTTTTTGTGAAACCAGATATCAAGGTTGAGGAAGTGGTCAGAATACCTGAGTTTCTTCCAGGAGCCATCAGAACACGTGACGTTTCCGAGAAAATCATCGGGTGTTCCATGGGGCTGAGTGTCCCATCTCAGACAATCTTTTCCCGATTCCGTCTTACTTACCTGCCCGATGTATTCCCTTCCCTTCTCTGTCAAACGGCACTCCGGATACTTATGCAGCGACTCACCTGCAAATTAGAAACTACTGTGGAAGAGAAGCATTCCATGCAAACATACGGAACATTTTACTTTCAACCTGACATCAAGTGAAGTTGAGGGTTGGAGTTTGTGTCATGCACAAAAGTTTTTTGTCTTTAATGGGTTTCCCAAATGCCGTGAGAAGGAATTGAGTAGAAACTTGAATCTCTCCCTTCTTGGTGATGTCTTCCGACTAGGATTGTGAGTGGTGGTTACATGACCATAGCTGGATTTCTGGTAATTACGCCAACCTTGCTAAACGACAATATTACTAGTAAATTATTATTGAATCGCTTTTTCTTGATTTTTAGCAGTGTTTCCACAAGAAATATGCACAATATCCAATTTTTTCCTGACTGAAGGAGTAGGCCGAGGCCAGAGTTGATGATAATCAATCAGAAAGTTATCAAGACCATTGGAGCATTTCTCCACGTTGTTCATGAGAAATGATGAGCTGTGCAGCGATTGCGAGATTGAGAGGTTATCAGTAGGGTGAAGTGGGGAAAAGTACCAATGGATTATTTGTAACAATGCTTCACGTGTCAGGAAGTATAATAGATTCCATTTCATAATTTTGTGTCCATGACATGGCACTATTCATCCCTCATACTTACATGTTTCGAGCTTCCCTGTGATTGGCTCAGAAATTATTTACTTCAATTTTGCTCACCCTAGTAATGAAATTAGGAATTCAATATTATTCTCTTCCGTTGCAATTTCAATTTTCATAGCAAGTAATGAGGTAAAAAATACTAACAAATGTAACGTTTGCTGTGTGATCTTAATATCAACCTCATGATCTCGAAATTGGGACTCAGGACTTATCATATCATTTGTTGAGTCTAATGTTGCTTTTGCCTCGTGGAAAGTTTGACTGTGGGGCAATTGTAACAACCTAGCATGGGGGTAAAAGTAACATCTCACATACAACATTTTAAGTGCTGGAAACTTCGGTATATGAGTCTATTTGTGAAGAATATGTAAGAGTGTAATCATGACTGAGTATTGTGCATGGGGCTTTTACAGGCATCATGATAATTTAAATTTACAGAATGGGTGCAGGAAAACTATACTCCCATAGGAATCTTGCAAGTGCTGTGAATACCATTAAGAATCATGAAATGAACAGAAAAATACATCAAATTTTTATGGGGTTTTGGGAGCAAAGGAACTTCCATAAAATTTTCCCATAAAATGTGTGGGCTCTGCTAAGAGATAATCTTGGACATGGAGCATCTCATCGACAAATAAGTTAAGTCTGGAAGCTCTCAAAAAAGGGGAATTTTGAGCAAATCTTCAACGAAAGTGGGTAAACCTCTGCCTGACAAAAAGTTAATCAGGTGCCGCAATTTCGCCAAGAAGACAACATAATTAGAAGTTGCATGAGAGCAAAAGAATGCGGTCTCCATCGTACGGGGTGGATAAAGGAAGAGAAAGAATTTGCTGCGATTACACTTTCCTGCAGGAGGAAAATTTTGACATTAAATTTGACATGAAAATTTGCCACATTATGACCACAAATATCAGTTGCCGTATTATGGAGAAAATTAATACCCTATGTTACCCTCATTTTTACTCTAACTTTTTTCTCCGATTTTAGCTATTTAACGCATTTTCAATATGTTCACGATTATTATTATGGAAAGTTAGTTTGTGTTTAAATGAGCTTAACTTGCCAACCAACCAGGCTATGCTACCTTTCCGAAATGCGATTGGTTACATAATCTGTCATTACTCGATTGTAGGGCACGCTTCAGGGATTCGAGAGATGCATGGGGAGTAGCACAGGCTTTGCTCTCCAAGATGCTCCACACGCAAAAGTCCAATGGGTTCAGGTCTGGACTAT